ATTCACAAGTTCATCGGCTTGGAAGTTAACTTGGACCTCTGTGTGGCTAGTAAATGTCCTACAATGCTTACTAAATCGATATATGCTGACATCATTAGTGTATTCCAGCTGAGATGGTTAAATGTAGCTTGGAAGATATAACGATGAATTACAAACCATCTTTATGATTTCAGGTGTCATCACATAATGTAGAAGATAATTTATGGAGAAGAGGATGTAAGAAGAATGAATACATTCCGACCAGTTAAGCTCCTCAGTTAACATTTGTGACACTGAATCATACATCTCCGCCTGATAAATCTAAAACCCATTACTGAATAAATTCAAGTTTGATCGTGAACTGATTTCATTTAGAGAACCTCTGGAAACCAAGAAGTAATGGACAGAGATTTTGTCTAATTCTGAAACTCTTCAGCATTGGCCACACTCATGAGTGTACCAGGAATCGAACCCAGGATTTTCAAGTTTCACAGTGACCTCACTGTGACCTCACCTCAGCCACTGAGAAAGAATACACCAGCCCATCAATTTTAATTCTAAAGGTGACTATCTGCTCTTAAACCCAACTCCTCAGGCTCCGGTGGTTACGAATCTCCACTGGGACTTCAGGTAACTTAATCCTACAGTAGGTCACAAATAAGCACTAAATTAACTTCCAAATGTGTAAGTTTGTAAGGATGTGAATTCATGAATTTGTCTCATGGTTTGGCTTGATAATCCCTATTTCCTCTTTTAGTCAGAGTCTTGTTCTATTTTACCATAGTATTATTATTGTTCCTGACGCGTGATGTCACCCAGTGGCCTCCTCAGCGAGTGTTCATCCGCATCCATCTCCACTTTCTTCTGCATATTTATTAGGCGATTGCTTCTTGTTTTGTTTGTTAGTGCCCATAGTTTCTTGTTGGTGATTCTTTCCGGCCTGGCCATCTGAATTTCAGTATAGATCCAGCGAAGACAGTTGCTGTTGATAAAGATCTGCAACAGGCTGTTGGAAATGTTTTTTGTGACCCACCCGCCAACTTTCTGATCCATATAGAAGAACTGACTGACTTGCCGTTATTTGTATTGAAAATCCGAGTGAATGTCGTTGTTGATGCTGGCTGAGTTACGAAGATTTTCAGATTGGTTTCAGTTTGTTGATGAATGTGTGTGTTTCTCGCTCGCCTTCCCGATTCTCGCTCGATTTGACATCCTCGTCCGTTCCGACTTCCTGTAGCTGAAACAATGCTCCTCCCTAGATAAGTGAGTGAATGAAGTAACCTCTTTCAAATGCCTCCCGTTGATGGTGATTGGCGCTGGATGTTGTTGTTGTTGGTTGGTTGGTTATTTTCATAACCTCCATCTTGTCTTTGTTCACCTGGAGTCCTGTGTTCCCTGGCTGCTTCTTCGACCAGTTTGTCGGTCGGTTTTTGCTTGTAAGTCTTCGATTGTGTGTGACATCAAACATAAATCATCCACGCGCCAAATCCAGGTCTTCTAGGTTCTTCACGTCGGTCCAGGATATTCCTGTCTTCCCGTTTCCCACTGTATGACGCATAATCCAGTCCACCACAATTAGGAATATCATTGGTGATAATAAGCCAGCACCCTTGTCTGACTCCTGTGTTTACTCCAAACGCCTCACTGAGTTTTCCGTTGTGGATCACTTGACATGTGCCGTTGTCGTACAGCTGTTGAATAAGGTTGAAGGATATTTGGGCGCTGCACGCTGTAGTACTCGAGTAGTTCCCAAATTACTTCACGGTCAACGCTGTCTGTCGGAGGCCTTCTCAAAGTCTATAAAGTTGAGGTAGAGGTTTGATTGCCATTCCATGCTTTGCTCTGTGATGATGATGCGTAGAGTTGAAATTTGGTCATAACATGATTTTCCTTTCCTGAATCCAGCTTGTTCTGGTCGGAGTTCTGTCTCCAGTGCGTCATTTATTCTCTTCAGGATGATGCGAATTAGTATTTTACTTGGCGTCGATAGAAGCATGATTCCTCGTCAGTTCTTGCAGAGTGAGTCCTAAGTCGCCCTTCTCAGGCAATTTCACAAGTTAACCTATCCTCCAGTCAGTAGGCACTTTTCCCTCCTTCCAGGCCTTTTGCAATAATGGAATCATCATATCAGCATATCAAAGTAATACAACTTCTTTTTAGAGAAAGCGATGTGTACAACCCGTTTTGTTAGATAACGCATTTCTCCAAAAATGTAATTGAGTAATTTTCAGTCCTGTGATACTTTTGAAAACAGAAAAAGACGGCTAGGAAGAGGAAAAGATGCCCTAAGCTTACATACGGTAAAAAACATTTTTCATGTAATTGTAACATATGTTCAGGAGTGAAAACACCAGATGTTAATATATACAATAACAACAACAACACCAACAACAATACCAACATATCCTCTAGTCGTTTGTCAGTTGTTAATACAATCTACACGTATATGTATAGAATATACAAGGGGTACTTTTATGCACATATATATATTGATACGGTGAAAGTCAGACAATAAGAAGTAGTAATAATAATAACAATAATAGATAAAATTTTTGGGTATTTTCGAATAAACCTGAAAAAAAAGATACCATGCTGGATAATCAGTTTTCTGGTTCTCTATTCGCTCAATTTCATTAATTTTTTTTAATAAAAATTAATACCAATCTGTTTTTTATTCGTTTATATTTATCTTATCGAAATGTAAAGCTTCATTCTGACATATATAGACGCCTTGAACAGATGCCTTAGTCTACATAGGATTAATTAACCCTACAATCACTTATTTGGTGGCCACTAGTGTAGTCGAATCAAAGATGCACTTTTCGTCCTATTCGGCATTTTGCCAGGTGAACGTACATGGATACATTCAACTTGAGCCACCTATGGCGCCGTCGCGACGTTAGCCTGGCTGTCAAAGGTCGGGTATACAATGCTTCGGTGCGGGCTACGCTGCTCTACGCCTGTGAAACCTGGCCTCTCCGAGTAGGCTGAGGATGTGCGGCGACTCTGCGTGTTCGATCATCGCTGTCTCCGCAGGATTGCTTGCGTTCGATAGCATTATCGCGTGAGTAATTCTGAGGTTCGGCGGCGTGTGTTTGAACAAAGTGGAGATCACCATTCATTGAATGTCGTCATCTGGAAACACCGGTTCCGGTGGCTTGGGCATGTACTCCGAATGTCACCCAGAAGCTTCCGTACAGGTCTCTGTTCGCTAGCCCTGGGACGGGATGGAAAAGGCGGAGAGGTGGTCAGTCCATGACGTGGCGTCGTGGGATGAAGGATTTTTGTGCTAGATTAGCATCGGTTGGTGTGTCACGACTCCCTGGTTGGGGTCCGAGAGATAGCTCAAATCGATGGCTCGAAACGTTATCGGATATGGCCAAGAATCGTAATCAGTGGCGAATGTGTTGCGATTTCCTTCTTTCTTCTCTTCCTGATGATAGCTAACGAACACTGTTTGAACTTGTTAAGCATGACTGTTTTCCTTCCAGATGAAGTTCTTTATCCGTTCTCTACTTATATATTTTTTCTTTTCCTTCCTTCCTTTTTTTTGGTCTATGTTGTTTTATTATTATTGTGTGGCGCATCTTTCTTGGTGCCATATTGTACCAAGTTTTTTTTATGCGTTTAAATAAATAAATAAATAAACGTACATGCACCCTATCAGGTGATGATATTCTCACTGGGACTGCAACCCAGTGGCCATACTTTCAAGTGCCAGAGGCCATTGAACCATGATAATCAATTTTTGAGTGACACGTTATATTTCGATGTAATTACTGAATTTGTGATTCCCCTTTGATATGTCTAACCGTCTTTATTAGTTTCATTTTGTTATAGTGGGGCTTGATCAAATCATACCCGTTCTACAAGAGGTATTTGTCATGAGTCAGCAGACTAGTAGATAACGCTCTGATGTTTAAAATGATGGGTCAATCACTAAGGTGTAAGATCAATCATCTGACAAGTCCCAAATAGCACAAAACTCGTGTCCTGAACTCTGCGCTTAGAAGACAAGTAACTTCACTACATTCCTAGATATCGTCGAAGCATCTGCACAAGAAGCCGATATGTCAACCTGAGACCGAGCACTTCCGTTCAGTCAGTCGATGGGAAAATCTGAAATTCAATTGAATAATTAATATGACCCATCGCATAAGAGGTGGCTTTCGTGGCTCAAGTGGTTTTAACGGATAACGCCTTGACGTTTGAAACTATGGGCACTATGTTCGAGCCTCGGCCTGCAAATTTTGGGCTACCGATATCCATGCTGAAAATTCCATACTTGTACCAAAAATACAGTGTGGAATCAAGCTGTAAATCAAAAATAAAAATAAAAAAAATAAAAACATCATCACTCAATAGGGAATGCAGGTACATCCAGCTGAGGAGTCCCAAATAAGACCCAACGTGCATCGTGGACTCCACTGCCAGTCACCATCCACCAATTAACCTTTAATTACATGCCCAGACGTCGTCGAAGCATCTGCACAAGAAGCCGACATGTCAACCTGAGACCGAGCACTTCGGTCCAATCTGTCGACGGGAAAATCTCAAATTCAATCCTTAAGGGGATTAAATGAACGAGTTGAAATTAAAGCCGACTTTAATGAATCCATGGAAAAGTTAATCAAATGCTCACTAGGGACTGACTACACAATGAAGTTGACTGGATTCCTGGTGAAAAGTGGTTAGCGGTAAATAGGGTTCATCAAGTTGTGTGTAGAAACAAATACCAGTCGATGCGAATGATAGAAGTTAGAATTCATGGGACATCAGATACTTAACAAATGTCTGAATGCTCAACGGGCTCGTTTCTTAGCTTGGTAGCTTTAAATTTGATCTCCTACGGGGTAATAAATGAGTACTGTTGAAGAGCCCCCGACTAGGACGAAACAGAGTTTCAAATTTTTAATGGTTATACAAGTGACGTCAATTTGTGATTTAATACTAAAGTTAAGGAAATTAATTGGCGCTTAAAACTGGCCACTATGTATCTCTCACCAAAAAGCAGCACTTACTCTGTATGAAGATGACTTCTGTCGCTACAGGTTTTTCATCCTCCATGAATGCTTGACACTGGAATTCTGCATTATCATCTCTAAAGGTGTAGGCATCTGATGAAAGTGAAATTTTATGATCATCTTGTGGTAGTATAGACAATGTTTCCATACGTGGTGGGCTTATTGGCAATAACTGTGATGGTATAGGTACATCACCTGGAATCTCTGGTTGTCTGTAGTACCAAACAAGCTTCGGCAGCTGGTTACCACTTTCTGATGGTGTTTCTGAGAAAACAGCTTCACAACTAAGCTGTAATATCAAACGGAGATAGGACACTTCATTAGCAAATGAGGATATTAAAAATGTTTACAATAAGATATTGAATTATTTAGCTGACTCACTCAGTGTCAACATAGAACTATGCACAAATAAGAGTAGTTGGTGTAGTCCAGCCCTGCATAGCCATCGTTACACTTAAAAGGAAGGAATCGCATACCAGATATCAGAAAGTTTCTTCTCATGGTATTCAGAAGCAACTTCATCTAAGAGGATACCATCGTTGACACACGCTAAGCTCATAACACTGTCCTCTGGTAGTAATTCAATCCCTGAATCGTCTAAGTCAGTTAGCGTCAATTATATTAGGACATGGGAGGGTCATCTGGCATTTCTGAGGTACGCAACTGTTTATCATAATTTCAGACAACGTCTCTGCGTAATTTGTCACACTACTTAGTGAGTTCGATTAGTGTGCTTTGATTACAAACTTTCTCGGCATTCCTTTCACGGTTATTCTAGAATCTGTCTAAGAGTAATTATATGATCACTACACTCAGTGCTTAGTCTAAAACCTACTTGACTTTCCTTAGCTTGTCTCTCTCTGTCTCTCGAGCACCAACTAGTCTACACATGATTATTGAGCCAACAACTTTCAATTTGGGTAGACGGAAATTAGTTTCCTTATTGTAAAATAATAATAATTACAAAATCTTCTATCTGTAGACGTCTTCCTGAGTCCCCTCCCCAGCATGATTTATCAACCATTCTGAAAGTCCATCCATTTATTACCTATGCATATCTGAAGAATGAAAGCTTAAACTGTGTATTCAAAAATCTGTTGCTAGAGATCCCTTTTTTCGCCTTGGTCTATTCTGTGCCAATTTAGCGGAAGAATTCATTCAGACGTCTGTAAAACAACAAAATCATTGAGCAAAGAATATACTTTTCGATAATTTGGTCTTCTGGCTCCACAGTTACATATATATATGTTGATATGCTGATATACTCCACTACCTCACTTACTTTAGCTGGTGTTCCTCAAGGTGCTGTTCTTTCTCCCTTTCTGTTTTCGTTTTTCTTACATGACTTGTCTCATTCTGATGTAGCCACTTTTGTTAAGTATGCCGATGACCTCTCGGTTTCTATGCCTGTCAACTCTCAGTCAGATTGTTCCAAGTTAAATAACTTTCTGTCGGAAATTGGTTAGTGGTCCTCTTCAAACGGACTTAAGCTAAATCCGTCTAAATGTCATGTTGTCAATTTCACTTTCAGACGTAAACGTGACCTACAGCAACTAGTTAGCTCACATGGCCTCACTATCGTTGACAGTACAGAGGTTGAAAATATATCTAATGTCAAGTACCTTAAGCTGAGTTTTTCCAACGATCTTTCCTGGTCCTCCTACATCTTGCTAGTTACCAGAAGGATGTTTCGCTTAACGTTCTATGTCAGGAACTTTCTCAGTTTGTCAATTCTTGTATTCTACACATCCCCCTTTACTGCTCCCCATTAATCTTTCCTGGACTACTTAAGAAAGGCTTTGCCTTGCTGAGAAGGGCACTAAAAGCCGTTAGTAGGACAAGTGGGATATCGTTAAACCAACTGGTTAACACTATTGTGGATAGACATATAATGTCATGTAAGAAACTAGAGAATACAATATTGTGAGGAACCGAGAATCCTCACTATACGCAGCTGTCTCCTTGCATTTCATCTGGTAGAACTAGAAGCAGCTATAGGAGGCTATATGCTAGGACTACCAGGTACAAAAGCTCCACAATACCTACCATATCTGACACAGCTGTTATGTGATGAGAAATCCGTTAGGTATGACACGATCAACTTACTGCGGCACTCTTCCAAATGTTCCCACTAGTTTTTGTTTTCCTTTCTTCGTTACTATCATATTTTTGTTCACATTTTCTATTACACACTAATTTTACATTTCATATCCTGTGGTGCATTGTTTAAAATGTAAACGCAACGCTGTTCTTTTTATTTATCCATTTTGCTTGTTGCTTTTCGATTTTAAATTTTTTAAACTTATGAGGTAATTCAATGCAATATATTGTAATGCACGCTGAAAATTCCATACCTGTGCCACAAATACTGTTTGGAATAAAGCTGTTATCATTATTATTAATATTCTAGATTAGTAGTCAATAACAATATTAGTGTTTTTTAGTAAGATCAACGGGATTAGAGTTCATTAAAGATGCTTAAATTATAATTATAATAATAAAGACATAGTAGTAAATATAATATCAACTAAAATTAGGAAACTTCCACAAAATTTCAGGACCATTTAAACCTAGATGACCAACCGGTAAGAACAATATCTGAACTAGCTTCTTTTGGACGCACAAATTAGGCTAGTTAATATGGATCCCAACGACCAACTTCAGCAATATTTAGTAATCGAACTCAAAAGGCAAAATTGAGATTCGCAGGTATGCGGTAAATGACCCTGCAGGCATTGTTGACACCAATCTTGTGTTCTGTATCCACAAGATGACGCAGAATAACTCTATGAATAGATTTTGTTTGTACGTTACTTTAAACCACGCAGAATGATGTTCAGAAATCCGACGAGGAACACGCCTAATTCCAATTCACATTTCTCTGCCCATTTACTATTTACTATCAATCAGATAGTTTTAATTTATGTTTTGTGGAATTTGAGCCACTTTATTTTTTTTTATTTTTGATTTACAGCTTGATTCCACACCGTATTTTTGGTACAAGTATGGAATTTTCAGCATGGATATCGGTAGCCCAAATTTTGCAGGCCGACCATAGATATCAGGTGTGCGCCGGCGTGGGCTCAACCTCTCAGTATCAATCCACTTCTTTTTAATAACCCCTTTCTGTAATTTCATCCCCGCGTCATGCCTAGCAACCCCCACCCATCCACCTACCTGCTTAGAACTATGGGTAAAGATGCCAACTTCATTCCTCTCGGAAGCACCCGTTTTGTTTCAGAATGTAGTTTTACAAAATGCATGAATTTACGCTCTGAAATAATTTTGTTTTGATTTACTGTAGGACATTGTGAAGTATAGGCGCCATTTTTAAATTCGAAATGCCTGAAAAATCATAAATCAATCCAGTGTGTCTATTTAATTTGATTGTTATCAATATAATTATCAATTTTTGAATGGCAATAAAAATGATTGCTCATTTAATTTGCATTCCTTCTTCGTTTTTTCATTATTCTTCGCTCTGGCGTCTAAAGCCAATAAAACTAATAATTTATTTTTTTCTTCTTATTTTTATTTGGTCTGGTAGGTACTACTGATAGAAATAAGTAGTTTCGCGTTGTTCTATACTTGAGAGACAAAATTCAGTGAAGCTTTTATCAGATGTCGTGATTGCAGTTACTCGGTGGAAAGCCATGAACCTAGGTTTCGCATTTATTGGACATCATCAGAGATGATTACTGGCAACCTCAATCTAGGTGATGTCTTCTCATACAGAAGGTTGATAGCTACCCAAATTAAGTGACAGCAATGTCTATGACTGTAACACTGGGTGAGATGGATTTAAGTCTCTAAGAGGGAGGCAATTCCTTCTTGGTTGCAGGTACGTCTTGGAGACCAGTGCAACTAAGCATGAAACCTCACTGTAGGAAGTTCTGGTTAGTAGAAGTCTCACGTGTTTTGATGCTTAAGTTGATAGTATAGTTGATATAGTATAGTGAGGGGGAAATACAAAGTTAACAGTTATAACCCAGCTTAAATTATGTTCACACTTATGAAAAAAATAAACAAAAACAAAAATTTGCTAGGATTATGACAATATAAGGAGTACAATAACAATAAAGTTTGATGTTGTAAGGGTGGAGGAAAAAATGGTTTATTTAGTAGTGCAAAGAATGTTACTTAGTTCATGCCTAACACTATTTTCATCACATAAAGTGTGTCCCGTGAAATATGGTATAGTGGAATTTTTATACTTAGACCTATGTGCGTAAAGTCTTCTGAAAAGACTTCTTGTTTTACCTGAGGAGGAGACACAAGGTTGGAGGTGCGGGTGCTGCGGTGGATGTTCACAGTCTGACAAAATCCCTTTAGCAAATTTGTTGCATGAAAGTTGCATGCAAGTGCCTATCAATGACAATGTCAACGATATGGCCCAATGGGATAGCAGCAGCTCGCTCTACTGACAGTCTTTAGAGTTCTACGTAGTATGACATAGTCTTTTTTAAGGAATCCAGGAAATAATAAGCAAGGGTGAACAGTAAAGAAGAATAGGTAAAATACGCGAGACGACAAACTGTAAGAAGAGGAGGAGTTGGGTTATGCGTGAGTGCCCCAACTTCTCAATGTAAAACGTCAGACGAAATATTCTTAAAATATTCGCTAAGACATGGAAAGACCAGGATAGGTCATAAGAAAGAATTAATCCAAGTTACTTAATTTCAGACTTGGTTTCTATATCAGTATCATCAATTTTGCATCGATCATAGGAACCAACAGCTTCATTTAACTTTCGTTTACATCGGAAACTGAAATTAACAGTGTGACAGTTGGAAAGATTTAGCTTAAGGCTGCCAGACGAAGACCATTTGCTCATTCCTGATAGAAAGCTGTTCATCTTAGTACAGTCAAGCTGAGAGTTAACAGACGTTAAAATAGTTAGATCATCAGCATACTCAGCAAAGTTCATTTCACCAGAGTGAGGCAAATCATGCAAGAAGAAAGAAAACAGAAAAGGAGAAAGGACATCGCCTTGAGGGACAAAAGCCTCAGTAAGCAACGAAGTGGACCACTTTCCCTTACATACGGTGTACTGTTTTCTTCTTGAGAAATAAGAATTCACCCGGTCGACAACCCAACAGTCAGCATGAGTTTCGGCAAGCTTGTTTAACACAATATCCCTAGGTACTGAGTCGAAGGCAGTTGTGTAATCAAGGAAGGTGCAGCGAACAAATTTACCCTCCTTATCTAAGCTGGAGAGAATGTTATGATATAAGACTGCAACTGCATCGAAAGTACTTCTACTGTGTTTATAAGCGAATTGTTTGGTGT